GAATCCCGGTGCGCTTCCGACGTCACAACGAGGCCAAAACTGTGACGGCGACTTTCAAGGTTGACGGTGTCGGCAGGCGTAATTTTACAATTTTGAAGATCAACGATAAGGGAGTTAAGCTGCAGTTGGATACTGCGTCAGACATCAGTTTATTTGTCGAGACACATGGTGTATGCTGGGACGACCACCGCTTGTCCACACAGACCACATAGCACGAAACGCATCCGGCGGTATTTTGAAACTTCTCGGAGAGTTGCATTGTCAGGTCAGTTTCCGTGATCAGCACATTCGCACAACTTGTATTGTGACAGATCATCCAGGATTGAATTTGCTGAGTCTCGATTGGATGGAGGAATTGAAATTACTTGACCAGTCAGTTAACAGTATATGCCAGAAATTACAAGTTGAGAAACCCGCAGAGACGCAGAATATGAACCTTGAACTTTACAGTCAAATTGCAGAATTGAAACGACGCCACAAAAGTTTGTTCCAACCCGGTCTTGGATGCTGCCGGATAGCCAGAGCTGAGCTGAACCTCAAACCAGTCTAGACCAAAACGTTCAGTGCCGTACGCAACACAACCAATAGTGGAGTCTGAGTTAAATAGGTTGCAATCGGAAGGCATAATCGAGCGCGTACATTACTCCGAATGGGCCGCACCCATCGTTATGATAAAGAAAGGATACGGCAAGGTACGTACTTGTGCTGACTTTTCAGATGGCTTAAATTCCATGTTGGAGAACCACCACTACCCTTTGCTTATACCCGAAGATTTGTTCAACAAGCTTAACGGTGGAAAATGGTTTGCGAAACTCGATCTAGCTGATGTTTACTTTCAAGTTCCAGTAGCCGAGAACTGCAGAACTCTATTGACGGTCAATATGTATCTGGGTCTTTTCCAGTACAATCGGTTGCCATTCGGAGTGAAAACTGCTCCCGCCATTTTTCAAAAAATCATGGATACGCTGCTGAACGATATCCCTGGAGTCGAAGTATACCTCGATGATGCATTGATTATGGGGTCTGACCCACAAGTATTGCTGGTCACGTTAGGGAAAGTGCTCACTCGTCTAGAAGAAGCTGGTTTCCGGTTACGAGCGGAAAAATGCAATTTCCTGATGGAAAGTGTCAAATTTCTCGGGTTCATCATTGACAAACATGGAAGACGTCCGGATCCCGCTAATATAGAAGCCGTCAAGCAAATGCCACCACCAAGGGATGTTATCGGAATTCGTTCATTTCTCGGTCTTATAAGTCATTATAGTGCCTTCTTGCCAAGTCTACATCAGACTAGAGGTCCTCTGAACCAGTTGCTGATGAAAGAGTAACAATGGCGATGGACAAAGGAGTGCCAACAATCCTTTGATAAAGTTAAAACAGCACTCAGTTCTGATTTATTTTTGACCCACTTCAACCCAATCTTGGAGATTGTTGTTGCATCGGACGCCTCCAATTATGGGGTAGGTGCTGTCATTTCTCATGTGTTCCCTGGAGGAGAAGAGAAGGCCATTGCGTACGCAGCACGGTCGCTGACAGTGGTGGAAAAAAATTACAGCCAGATTAAGAAGGAAGCGCTGGCGATTGTTTTCTCAGTGAAACGGTCTCATAAAATACTATATGGTAGACATTTCAAATTGATCAAGGACCAAAAACCTCTACTCTCGATATTGGGATCAAAGAAATGTATTCCTGTTTTCACAGCAAGTCGGTTACAGAGATGGGCAATCGTACTGCTGGCTTACGATTTCAGTATACAATATCGATCTACACAACAACTCGGCCAAGCTGACGCGCTATCTCGCCTCCTCAGTTCCCATTTGAAGAAAAACGATGACTGCGTGATTGCATCTGTCAAATTCGAGTCGGAAGTTCAGCGCATCCTGGTTGACAGTGTAAGGGAGTTGCCAATAACGTCGGAAACGATTCGTGCAGAGACGGCTCGAGATCATATCTTGCTGAAAGTGATAGGGTTTGTGCAGTCCAGTTGGCCTAATGTCAGAAATTCGAATGAGTTATAACCTTTCCTTAATCGACGCGGATCCCTTTCGGTCGTTGACAGTTGTCTAATGTTTGGAGACCGAGTTGTGGTACCAAGGAAGTTGCGGAAGCGAATACTACAGCAGTTTCATTCAGGTCATCTGGGAACCAGCCGAATGAAGGCACTGGCGCGAAGTTTTGTGTATTGGCCTCAAATGGATGCAGAGATCGAGCAGTTCTGCCAAAGTTGTGAATCTTGTCAACAAGCGGCAAAGGCAACACCGAGATGTTCGTGGAACCCTTGGCCCCAGTCGAAAAAGCCCTGGCAGAGAATCCACTTGGATTATGGGGGACCCATCAACGGTCAAGCTTATTTGATTTTTGTTGATTCCTACACAAAATGGCCCGACGTGATTCCGATGCAAAATCCTACCGCCCAGCACACTATCAATGAGCTGAACAAACTGTTCCAGTATTTTGGCACCCCGGAGATGCTGGTTACCGACAACGGAGCCCAGTTCACCTCAACGTTGTTCAGAGAATTTTGCAGGCAAAACGGAATCCAGCACAAGTTTTTGCTGCCGTACCATCCACAATCGAATGGGCAAGCCGAACGGTTTGTAGATACCTTTAAACGTGCTCTTCTCAAAGCGGAAGGAACGAGGGTGTCACGAGATGCAATGCAGCCGTTTTTGAGAATGTATCGAAACACTCCGAATCCAAACACACCGGAGGGTAAACCTCCTTCTGAATGTCTATTTGGACGAAAAGTTAGAACGACATTTGATAGCCTGATTCCCCGAAATGTTGAAAAACGCAACGGATAACCGAGAAAGGGGCAGGATAACAGGCTTCGCACGTTCAAGATTGGCGACTTGGTGTATGCACGAAACTTCCAGACCCCGGAAAGATGGGTTAGCGGAACGGTAAGTGGAAAGAGGGGTAGAGTTATTTATGAGATAACGGTCAGAAATGACAAGTGGACCAGACATATCAAACATCTACGACAGCGGCATGACAAAACTCAAAGAGACCAAGAACCAGCGGCGCCACAGTGGGACATACTACTGGATACACTTGGTTTAGAAAACAGAACTGATCCCCAAAGCGGAACACAGCCGGTCACACAGACGCCACACGACGTGACATGCAGACCTAGTCGGAGAAGAAGGCAACCGCGATGGCTACAAGTGGACCCCAGGGTAAAAAACTACGACCAAGCCCAAGTGCGGAAAATAGGTAGGAGCAATCAAGTTGAAGGGGGAGGTAATAGAGATGTAAGCGGAGCTAAAGTTGGGTATCGACTGAGAATTGATCGGCCAGCAATTACCAGTCCGCATAAAACGAATCGAACTATACCGTTAATATGATAAACCCGTGGAGTGGAACTCACCCACACTTGCTGAAAACCGGACGCACAGAAATGAGCGATCTTAACCTCCTAAATTAGCATGTTTCGGCTACCTATAAATACAGTTAACTTATGGTGTGGATAGATTCCCTGTTTACCTAGCCTTGGTCTTCTGTATTCCGTCGGTTGGTTGGGCGCGTGATTGAGAAATCAGACAGTCGCAGTCTCATAGAGCAGCTAGCAACAGTACAACAGTCGTCAGTGGCGGAGAGCTGAGGTAAAGAAGAAGCGTTACAACAGTGAAGAAGGAGTGTTACAACAGTGACAACAATAGCTCACATTTGTGAGCCGCAAGTTACCGTGAGTTTTATGTTATGCTTTATAATATCATGCAAAAACTTACTAAACGAGCAGTGTTGATAGATCACAGATAGTTTATCTAACGTTTTGATCAGATATCGATGAAGTGGTGTAGATTCGGATTTATACTTTCCCCCACAATAGAATAGCTTGCATTTGGTAGCTTCCAAGTCAGACAATTCTCTGCATCGCCGGATGAGCACCAGGCAACTGCCTGGTCCTACTGGGGCATATGAGTGTTGTGCCTCTCCTCGGATGCGTCAGGAACTGAAGCAATGACTATCATTGGTCCCCATCACTAGCCAGTAGTGTATGCCAATGAGACACTGAGGATGGAAGAAGACCGCCATAACTTACAAACTAAATACGAGATACCGCGACACATCCTTCACTTGCATGCAAGTAATGAAGGTAGCAGTGGACGGGTATGGCCCCCCAGGGTCACGGCCTCCGCTAACAACTACTGTCCTCTGCACACTTCGTAACTGGCATGGCAGTAGAGGATGAGTAGGGCTGTATCGTAGTCAGCTATCAGTCATGCAGGTCCGCCGTCGTCACCCATGGCTTAGTGGCACTAGCTGCTGGTATCCGGAAGTGATGGCGTCGGAATTCGGCAGGGGTGTGAGGAAGGCGCACCACTGATGAAACCCATAAGGTCGAAATAGCACTGTCTGGTGTTTTCCAGATGTGTCAAAGCACACTGACTAAGAGACCGCGACGAATTATCGCTGAAATTATACCAAAATCCCCACTACTTATTAGTAACCTAAACTCCGTTAGTATCGCTTCTTAGCGCTGTGTCGTACACAGAAGTCATGCGGGAAGTTCCTAGCTCATGTGGCCAACTACTATCTTCTGCACGGTTGGCAAATGGCATCACAATGGATAATGAGCCGGGCTATATCTTAGTCAACTGTCAGTCATGCAGGTCCGCGGCCGTCAGCCATGGTGAAGTGGCACTAGCTGCTGGCATCCGGAAGTTATGGGGTCGGAACCCAGCACGAGTCCGAGGAAGGCGCAACAGTGACGAGACCCAGGCGGTCGAAACAGCGTTATCTGGTGTGTTTCCAGATGTGTCAAAGTCTGCTGACTGAGAGCTGACCATGCTGAATTACCTCTGAAGCTACATTTATGAAATCACATTTAGTAGCTGCTATGGTGAATGTTCTGATGTTAGTAAGTATTATTATTTGGTGACGCAAGTCGGGGAAATGAGATGCACTGCACTTCGGTGCACGGAGCAAAATTGATAAACTGCAATGAGAAACACATAAGCACACTAACGGATGAGGAGAAGCATTGCATTCCTCACCTTTCTGATAAAGTTGGGAGGAAACGCGCTTCCGTTATGCGGCGATATCATATTGTCTGACACGTTTGGAGTGGAAGACGATCGTTCCCGAGCGGCCAGTGTCAAGTACTGACGAGGTTGAAGGGTGTTGGGAGAAGCGAACCCCGCGGGTAAATTGAGCCTGACGCCAGCACCGCTACCACCACCATGCAACCGCATCGTTGCGTCACCTGGGTTGACTCGATACCGTTTGGACCCACTGAGGAAAAGACTGTCGTATGGGGTCGGAGTGAGCCAATTCGATGCGGGAGCGAAGAAATTTGTGGACTGGCCACCATAACTGATAAAAAATGGGAACGCGAAGAAATAAACTATGCATGCAAATGCATATCAAAACACAAGCCGCTCAAAGCCATGGAAATGAAAAATGTGGACAACATCGACAGCGCACCAGAAATCACCTCCCCATAAATTGAGAATAGTAGTATGCAGAACACCGATAAAGGTAAACCCGTAATTGGAATAACATAGCAAAACTATTGTCTATATCATATGCTGCCTTCTGGCTTTTTTCCTTTTTAGCAGATAATGCTTTTAGGATTCAAATTTTATGTAAGCTGGCAACCCGTGTTTGCGCTGCGGCCGATTTAGAGCAATAGCTTATAGTGTTGTAAGCCAGTGGCACTCTTTAGCAATGAGCCTCTAATAGGGAAAACGTACAGAGTTAACGATGACTAAACCAGAAGCTAAGAAGGAAGCATCAGCAGTATGCCGGTTCGCAGTACCGACGCTTTGCCGCAGTGAAATCACCACCGGTCAAACGTGGGCTAAGGATACTGCGACTGTCGGTCTGCCCCTACGCAGGCTGGAACCCGCGCTGTCAGCTTACAAGACAAGCCTGTTACCTTTAGGCTACGGGTCGGCAAGAAGTTAGGGACTTCATGCTTTGTCGTAAAGTGATCGGCGGTCTATCAAACAGCTTCTCCCAGTGTAGTTCTGAGTCGGCAAACGAGGCACGGCGCGGTAAACTCTCATTAGACATGCCAAGGAGGTCGACAACCCAACACAAGTGGTGTAACAAAATAAGCTCATAAAGAGGAAAATCTTTCTCTCCAAGAGAATTGCAAAGCACGAACCACTAAAAAAGCTAGTATATTTTCAACAGCCTGTGAACAGACGTAGAGCTATCAAAAATCATGGAGATCATAGGAAGGTACGATTGGCGTAAAAAGGAACATAATACGGAAAAATTAATGGTTTCTTCAAAGAACAGGATACTAGCCAGCTGCCTAAGCCAAAGTAGGGAGTTGATTTAGGGGACCGCAGTCCGAGCCTACTTGCAAGCGAAGTCGTGAGCTGGTGACTGATTGCTTAGTTCATAGGCCTTTCATTTGGTCAGTTGCTAAGAAGGGGCCCACTCCTTCCCACAGTTTCAGCATCACTTTGTTGGAATACCATGCTCCAACAAAGTGAAGCAAGGAGCGATGACTTTGTTTAATGGTGAGCCAACCCCGCAATGTCTAACTGTTTTTATGCAGACGCATATCAAGCAAAAACTATCGAGTCCTGGAAAACTGTCACCGAATCATTTGCTGGAGGAAGATAAATCCAAACTACCCAGCTGGCATCACGTGGGGGTTGTCAAGTAAGTCATCGTTGAAGTTTGTAAGCCTCCAAGTGTCATGCATACAGACAGACCGGGAATCATTACAATACAGCAGTGTAACGCGAACACAAGTATTGTAAACTCCATCCTTTAACGGGAGCGAAATGTCCTAACGACGCCAAAAATGTCTCGAATTGGCAAAGACCAACTAAGCCCTAGTCAGACCACGGGCCTTAGGAACACACCTCCTTAGGTAGATAAAAAATGCCCACTTATTCAAAGTGTGTGTTCGATGGTGAGCAGAAGAAAAACCGCCTACTAGTCCTGTAACTGAACTCCATACTTGGAGTGGACAAAGCACGCCTCCAACACCAACCAGAGAAGGATTAAGGGTAGCTGTCGAGCAAGGCCATATCATAAGCGTAATAAGAGTCGGCTGCACGATAACCTGGAAGGAGCCAAAGGCTAGGATTCCGAAAGCCTTCAAAAGTTCCGAACATGACATCCTTAAAAGCAAATTAGAGGAGAAACAGACATAGAGCACACTTATGGCGTACAACTAGTGACATAGAAGGGAGCATAAAGCATGAGGACCGAAGAGTGAAATGTCCGTTTTGAAAACTCTGTTCATTAGGAATTAATACCACAAAGCAAGCAATCAGTAGAGTCGGATGCATGCCGAATGCCCAGGAAACAAGCATTACATACCGCCAAACTCAGTTTATTACGAATAAACCAGGGCGAAACAACAAAACAGATAGCATTTGTCATTATCCGCACTATACACGTTAGTTAGAGGTGTAAAACACTTCAGCTGCTGTACCGCAATACATAAAAGAAAAAGAGAAAATAAACGCAAGAACATAATTTTGCGAAGAGTACTCTTTTCGACAAATCTCCTCAGACATTTACGATTATAGAATGGAAAGGCAGAACACAAATGGCTGATGAAGCCAAAGTGGTGGGAATAGTGGAATCACGACAAACAGAAACTCAAAAGTATTGATCAATAAAGTCCATTAACAATGTATGTGACAGAGCACGTGTTAGTTGATCAGTGGAATGCCTAGCGCATCATCCGACCACTGTAGGCGCACGGAGTGATAAAAGCTGGTAAGCTAACTAGGGCCAAGGTAGAAGAAGCCCTTGCAGCAAAGCCTTCTGTTTGCATAATTCCGGTTGAAATATTCTAATCGCAATCGTTTCGGCTGTCCGTAAGATTTGCTTCCTAAGACCTTTAGTGTACCGTGGTTGTACTACATAAAGTACTTAGAAGGTATCAGCGATCCTAATTCGGTGTTCGCTTTCCACCAGATGTTCCAGGATGGAACCACTACGGCGATTGACGATGCCATTCCGCAAAGCCGCTGGGCAGTGTCTCGCAATGTGTTTAGACAGACACCTGTTGCATGACAGCTGAGTTACCAGCAGCGGATGGGCATGGTTTCAGACCACACCCCGCCTGTCTATTTTTATCCCACCCCCCAACACATCCCACCCCACACACCTTACCACCATCTCAATTAATTCTTTTTTTTTACCTTTTTATTTTATTTCCCCCCCGCCTCCCTCTCCCACCCACCAACCCAACCCCCCCACCAACACCCCCCCCACCACTAAAACCTAACCAACATACCACTCCACACCCACCCCACCAACCACCACAAACCCCACCCACACCCCAATCACACAAACACCACCCCCCCCACACATCCCACTCATTCTCATTCCCATATCCTCTACCCCTTTATCATTATCACCATATATCTATAACCACCCAAAATAACCCCCTTTCCCTCCCCATAAATCTAACCACATAAACCCAAACACAACAAAACCCCCCCCCCCCCCCCCCCCCCCCCCCCCCCCCCCCCCACCCCCCCCCCCCCCCCCCCCCCCCCCCCCCCCAACTAATAAATAACACACTTTATTTCCAATTTTTCCTCCCCTTGTGTGTGGGCCCCCCCCCCTTGTGTTGTTGTTGTGTGGGGGGGAACCCCCCCCAATGGACGACCCCCCCCCCCCCCCCCCCCCCCCCCCCCCCCCCCCCCCCCCCCCCCCACCCCCGTGGTTGATCGTAACTAGTTTCTTCATGTCCGTTGCTTTAAGGGGCCAGATTTCACAACCGTACAATAGGGTCGAACGTATCGCTGCATTGTACACTCTACCCTTCAGAGCGACAGTGATGTCGCGCCGGCGCCATAAGTGGCGAAGGTTAGCAAAAGCACCTCGAGCTTTTGCTATACGGTTCGTGATCTCATCTTCAATCCCACGGGCGCCGATACAACTTCACAGGTAGCTGAATTTCCGAACGACTTCTAACTGATCCCCTACAACGGTTAGCGTAGGAGGCGGTCCAGACCAATCGGTCCCTGTGGTAACCAGATGGAGTGGAGGAAGGGATGAACAGGAACGCCGCCTCGTCCATTATCAAGCATCTTATAACGACCAAGCACCAAATCAACCCAGTGCATTCTTTAAATGTAGTAGTACGTAATCGGATTCGGAAACTGCTGACCATTAGTGAAGCGTCCCTGATAAGGACGAATCGCCGTTGTTGTGCGCACAGAAAACACGAATGAAATCGGCAAGATTACGTTGGTACTGATTGCACAACATTCAACAGTCACCAATTCAGTTTGTTTGTGTTACCAAGAATCCTATATGTATTGCGTTGCGACTGAGAACAATCCAGATGTTAACACATCGCGACTTATATCATCTCTCTGCGTTGATGGAACGGTTAAATCTATCGAAACTTAGGCGTGTAAGCCAATATTGATCGGTTCCTAGAGAGAAGCGGCCCGCGAATAAGCGAGAATTGCCACTATTGATCCAGTTGAAACTAGTGGAGCAGCGTACGATATACAGTAGACAAGTAAATAAGAAAAAAAACATCGCACATCAGCGCTAGTCTAATCCAAGCTCACTAAGCCGATTGGCGGACTTCAAAATGAGTTAAACAGCATTTGTTATCAAAATGGCTTGGTGGACATCGATACCAAACCGGCTGCTAGCGAAATAGCGATAACATTAGTAAAAACTTACGATCCTTTCCATTGTAGTTCGTTAACATAGAAAACGTCATCTTCATAAATAGGCATGCAAGCCACATCCACCCGAGGTAAGCAACGTTGATGGAACATGCACCCACAGGATTTGCAAATGAGACCTGTGGGGGGATTCGCGTAAAAACAACGACCACAGATTACCGTGGAAAATGTACTTCTGGCACACGTTACAATGGGGCTTGTCGAAAAAGGTCTTGCGTTGCCATTGATGTTCCGAGTGCTTGACACTTCGACAGAAATCCACAACAAGTTCATCTCCGCTTAGAGCCAATTGTACCGCATCATCCTCCCAAGAGACAGGTAAGCTGAAACATGAATGAAAGGAAAATGAACTTCATGCTTACCCTGTTTGGGCACGATAGACAATAAGGTTCTGCGTCTGTAAACCACGGTGGGATAATTTCTTGCCCAATGCATGCTGCACTTGTTGTCCAGGCCTCACTTCAACCAGAGTGAATTGGCTATGAGGCAAATGGGCTCTTAAACGTAGCTTGTTTCCTGACTCAGTTTGACATCCGGGGGAGTGTGCGACTTGCGGACTACTGGTGCCACCGGTAACGTTGATGACACCTGCTGCTTGGGTGAGTTTCGAAGTGTCTAGCGATTGGATGCGGGACTGGAGTTCATCCAATTCTCGAACATATTTTTCAATCACAGCTTGTACACAGTTCCTATCGTTGAATGCCTCTTCGTGTTCTTTAGTCAGCAGGCCACAATAATCTTCTTGTCTTTCGATAAGATCCAGTAACTGGTCAATTTTCATTTGAAGGGCCCTGCTGATTAAGTTGAAGCATTTGATCTGCAAAATGAATTGGGGATACATCAATAGAACAATTGAGTCACGGATGTGTAAAACTGGGTAGTCAAAGGAAGGGCAATAATACCACAACAGAACGGATAGAAACATAAGAAAGTTTCCCACCGGGAATTTAAAGAACTTAAGAAGTAACTAAGTAAAATGTTTCATATCTGCTGGATGCCTGTTGTCACATGCAGATCTAATGGTGCGGTGAGGTTTAGCAAAACAAGTTAACAATACATGCGATGTGCTTTGCCGTCACAGTTGGGATAAACGTCATTGAGTATCTGTAGGATGTGCGTTTGACATATTAAACCTCCCGTGTGATATGCAGTGTCTGGCTGCGTTTGTTGTGAATGTTGACACCCTCCACTTCGATTAGACAGGTTGCTAAAGACTCTGGATCGGTGTTGTGGGAAACGAGATGCACGGATACGAGGACCGTGCTAGACTCAAAGTGTGGTTTCGTACAGGTTATGGCCCAAACACCGCTTTGTGTACATCTGGTACGAAGTGTCCCCAATTAAATAGTAATGCTGAAGGAGTGTGGGCCAGTTACGTTGATGAGACGCCGCTCCTATCCACATATCTCCTGGTCTTATTCCCCGCAGTTTACACTGGATACGGGACTGTGGATGAAGCTATAAGAGATGCAGCGCAAGCCATTCATGGTCTGTGTGTAAACACAGGCGTCTTATGGAGGACACAATGGCAGGCGAATAAAACAGATGCGGCCAAGTAAAAGTATCAGCAGCACGCAACCACCAGAAGCCGAATGCGAACTAGGGGTACGGTGAGACCGACCGCACTTATGTGGACTGAAAGTTTTACCCTGTGAGACGTTTGAACCACTAGGTCACCGGCCAGTGTGATACAATAATGTGACGTCTACTGGATGAAAACTGGAACCATGAGTAATAGGTATGAGGATTGGACAAGTTAGCGATTCAGAGACTAATTTTAATGGCATTCACCCCAGTAGCTCACAAGTTCCATAGCACAGCCTAGTCCGGAAAAGCACCAGACGCGTTTCACCCAATTGGGGCTAGTCAGTGGTGCGCATTCCCACAGTCATCTAATGGGGATCGAACCCATGACCGCTAGAGGCAGATGCCAACTAGCCAGCAGCTTAAGCCACTGAACCATGGGGGACGTCGGCTGGGCTACATAAATGCAAGCTAACTGGGCTATAACACCACCTAGCTTACGAGCAACATAAAATAAATAAATAGCCTCTCCTAGTTTAGGTGCTATGGATATAGCGTCTAGCGAGAGGACGTCATTACATCGAAGGCTAGCCACTGGCAGTGGGAATGCGCACCACTGACGAGCCCCAATTGGGCCAAAAGAGTCTGCTGCTTTTGCGGAGTAGGCTGTGCTATGGAACTTGTGAACCTTAAAAATTACAACTAAAAAAGTAGTATGGTCATGTACACATGAGTAACGCATAAAAGTAAATACATTTTATAGAAAAGAAGAATAAGAGTGCGCAAATGTGTTGGGTGCAAGTGAAGTACGCAATATTCGAATGGCAGCAGACAACAAAAAACACATGAAATTGAATCTGCTCCCTTACAAATCTGTGGATTGGAAATTCCGTGTGATGAAATAAGTTGGTTATGCAAAGGCTGTAAGGTATCAGAAGTATGCTGGTATGGAGTACCGATGCTTTGCTGCCACGTAACCACTACCGGTCTCATGTAGGCTAATGCGAGGGTCGCCCAGTCCCCTCGCAGACTCGAACTCGCGCCGTCGGAATACAAGGTAAGCTTGGGATCCTTAAGGCTACGGGCCGACTAGGGCCGTATGCAGGACTGAAATCGTGCAACGTCTGAAAGGTCACGAAGACGCAACCCGGCATGATACAGTCGCACTGGCGTTGACATTCTATCCTTCCAATTGAGTTGTGATAAACCCATGCTTGATCAATTACTCCCCTTCGCAATGAACAGTCTAAGGGTTTACAAGTGGAAAGGTCAATTACATGCACCCAGAAAACCGAAAAGAACAGATATCATTATTTGGGAAGATACCGATATAGCGCGCATTAAAGTTGCTATAAAATGAATAAACAGGACAGCAGGCACTGAGGACTCCGTGATATATAAAATGTAGGTAGCTCAGATTGTTCATGCTGAGAGGTACTGTTTCTCGAGCGCAAACCATCGGAGCACTTGAATCACGTTCACTCAATCAGTTGCCAAAAAACCAGAAGGAGCTGAGCCAAGGGTCAACCAGACTGATGCCTAGTGCAATGGAAAGATATCGATCAAGACTAGTGTTGATTAGAAATCAGTACCCATGATCGAACGCGAATTCGGCTAGTGCAGGTTGCACAGTGTGAAATCTTCATCCGGGTTTGGTTCATGTTCCGCTTTCAGAATGAACCCCGGTTTTTCGCGTACTCGCCTTGCCCGTTCTTCGTTGCTGGGGATTGGCCTACACTCTACTATAGCAGTGTCCGACACTACAGTTCAGTTGTTAGATGAACTGTCTTCTGAGCAGGGTACTTTTGTTGCAAACGTTTCGGCAATAGTAGAGGTGTCATGAGTGCCTAGTCTACACTTACTTGCGCATCGCTCCAATGCGCTACACACTGACGCATTGATGATGCCATCTCGATTGGTGACAAGACGTTCGCAACAAAATTACCGAGCTCAGTGAATAGGTCGTCAGACAAGTGGGGATTCTGCGTATATTGCGCCATCGTGATCAGTCGTGCCGATAGTTTAATGTCACAGCCGATAATTAAGAGACATCCCCAGCAATAAGGAAAAATAAAGAAAGGGAACCTCTAAAGTAGGACATGAACACATCAGGTGAAGGTTTGGTAGTAAGGCGACAACGTGTAATCAGTATCACGCTGCCACGAGCAGGTAGCCAGCGAGGGCGACTACTGATTATTTGTAAGTAGTAGGGGGATTTATTAGGCATTTTGTGTAGGATCGTCGCCTAAGCATTTTACATGCCACCTCGATTGGTGGCGGCTTGCAAAGGAAGTTATGGCTCTGGGGGCCAGCTCTGTCCGCTGCACATTCATAACATGCAATACAGTGCAGGAAAAGCCCCGCTATATCGCAGTTAGATATCAGTCATGGCGGTCCGCCGCCGTTGCCCATAGCTCAGTGACATAAGTCGCTGACTCGCAAGAGTAAGGTCGGGTGTTCGAATCCAGCAGGATTCGGCGGGTGCGCGATACTGACGATTCCCAACAGGACGAAACGGCCGTCTAGCGCTTCCCTGGATGTGTGGTGGCTGTCTGCCTATGTCCAACTGCGACGAATCTATACAAAAACGCCGTTTTAGTTTTTTGGTCTGCTTAATATTTGCGATGTAAAGCAATCAAAGCATGACAAACGTTCGTATACATTTTCCATTGGGCCCTGTTCTGTGCCATCTCCGAAAAAGTTTCCAGACAGCGGTGTTGTTCATCATTGATCTCCCAGCCCGGAAGACGCACGGGACCTACGACAGTCAAACTGGAAGTTAGCGCTTTAATGGTTTGTTGCCACGTGATAAGTTGACCACCGCGCGATTTCTTCCAGCCTGGTCCTTTGCGAGCGAAGATAGCGTGTCGGAGCAATCGTTCACATGACATGCGTAAAACGTGGCCCAGCGATCTCACGCGCAGCGCTTCCAGTCTGTCAAGTGGAAGTCCTGTGTTACCCAAGACATCATTGTTGCGCACGAGTAAGGTGGTAATGTCAAAGTGACAGGTTTACTGGAATATTCTCTGTACCGCACCTTAGTCACAACTAACTAAGTACAACCGACTACAAACTGGCAGGCCGGCTAAAAGATAGCAATAAGCATAACGCTAGTGTCTTCTATCAGCCGTATCCAACAGTGTCTCGAGCCGACTACAAGCTAGGAAATGTGGATAGCAGTCTAAAAGGCAAGGAGGTCAATAACATCCAAACTTGTGGTTGAAGACTTCATTTGCAACTGCCTAGTCCATCATTAATTGTTTAAAATAGAAATAACAAGTGCCCAAACCGAGAAAAGTTGATCAGCTCTTGTGTGTGAGCAACGAAATAATCCAGTCATCATCACTTAGTACCATACTGTGTAAGTTATTGTTGTGGACACGTTCGCTCCACCCGACCTCAGCAATACTTCGGGTACAAAATGGTTAAAAGCTTGAAGGTGCTGGCAATTATCAGATCGATGGGGTCAAAACTTGAGCTCAAGGGGTCATGTACAGGTGACAATTAGGATGTGCGGAAATCCGCACATAAACCCAAAGATGTTGCGTATTACTAAACGCTGTTTATCTTGCGCAATAGGTGAACCCATCATCAGCAACAGAAATACATTGGTCAGTTGACTTGACACATCCTTGTCAAACAGTCACAATGATTTACGAGGCGAATAATAAAGAGAGGAAAGGATGCGGCGTAAAATCTTAATCCCCTAAGCAAACCCTTAAGGTTAAGGCACCCACATCTTGTCAACAACAAACTGTCACACACAGGCAGCTACCGTCCAAAAATAAGGCGGAATTGTCGAGCTAACTTCCTTGTGACTTTCACTGCTCTGCGTCTTAAGCAGCCGTTACCACTCAGGTAACTGAACACTGAACACGTTTCAAACAGGCAGTCCAACTAGGAGACGACAGTAGAAGCGCCATTGATGTCAACTGTGAACCCCGTCTTGCAGTCTTGAGCCAAGCAGAAGATGGAACCACCTGCCAAGTCAAGTTTTGCCCACCTCGAGCATTGCGTCACCCTACATCTGGCAAACAAAACAAGTCTCTCTTCAATAAAAAGTGACCGGACATATGTACTACGTGCTCGATTCAACGAAACTTATTCAGCGCTAGCTGCTGCTCAAGGAAATACGCTGATTCTCAAAGCCTAGCACGTGCCTAAACACATCATCATTTCAAATATGCTGGTGCCATCAGACACCAGTAATGCTCCGTAGGCAGCGATGATCAGAGACGTGGTGCCTCAGGACCACAGATCGAAGGAACCAAGTCTTACTTCTGTGGAGTAGGAGGGGCCTCCGTGTGACCTTGTAAAAATGGCCTTTCAGACCAAGAAAACCTCATTCTGATGCAACGTGTCGCGGACTCAAGAAGGCAGCTCTAGTTTTGGCAATAAGTACAACACGTGAAGTACCTTTTCAATAAGATAAAACAGAGACATTCTGAAGGTGCAGATAGATAATCTCCCGAAGAGTGAAAATAATCGGTAGTATGTCGTACCCACGTTTAACTGCCACGCGATCATCACCAGTCACGTGCGTGTCGTAGGTGCTGTGAGGTCGTCGCACATACATACAAAATCAAACCGTCACCGAGATTACAAGCTAGACGGCCTAATCACTTGGCCGAAGTATTGAGCTAATCTGTAGAGGCTGTCAAATATTGAGCATACCGCTTGTCACTTATATGATCCAGATTAAGCAGTTTCCACCGTACAGAATCCTGGGAGCTGTATCGTGAGACCCCATAAACGAGCATTCCAGAATGGAAACTATGTTAAAAGTGAACAAAGCTGAGGGAAGGGTGCAACACTTGTGGACGACATTTGTTGGAAAGGTGTTCGATACTCGTTGAGGACAATGACGCGATCTAGAAAGCACTAGATGTAACGCGCCTGAGATGTTTACTTGCTGAGTGGGAATACCACTTGGAGAAAATACACATCTCACGGGACAGAGCGATCTACTGAGTTTATCACGTTTTCGGAATCGAGAAACATAAATGCGTAGTCGGTCTGCTGCAAGGCATACAGCCCTGCATAGTTGAGAACCTGTCAGTTGCAGCCAGCTGCGTCAATGGTTGTTTGTCGGGGCACTAGTTCAGATTGTAAAGCGCTCGCTTAGCATGCGAGAGGTATTGGGATCGATGCACAAGTGCTCCATTCCACCTCATGTACGGGGAGCGCATCGTACCCGAATAGCCTAGGGTGCAGTTGTAATTTGCAGCAGACGCTCAGGAATCACTGACGTGACTCTGCGCAGGTGCCTAAACTAATTACGATGGAGCAACACAGACGCATGTCTATTAGCTCTCTAATTTCAGTATACAGTACTCACGATTCCTGCTCCGCAACAAGCCAGATGGTTAAAATAGCGACTAGCAGCATCGTCACGGTGGGTATCAAGAAAGTACAGACATTACCAAAAGGTTATTTACTCGCGTGCTACCAGAGAACGCAGTCCAAGAACAGATATAAATTTTGGAGGTTAATATATGGGTAATCAGTAAGAATGTCCAGTTTCTGGATGATTCAACTACTAAATTGGTAATCGAATGGCCAAACCAAGTTAGGATGCCCTTTGAGGATGTGATATGCTGCAAATGTTGCTCCGACCACGGCCAAGCGCGATATTGTAGGTAGCAAGTGTGCTCACTGGTTCAGATCTCCTGTTGAAACAGTATTTGGATCGATTTTAATAAAGCGGAGCATCAACTGACGGCATCTGGAAAGATAACTAAATCTCACCTTGTTCTCCAGTAAACAGCATCGTTGTTGGAGGATAGAAACGGCAGATTCTGTGCTTTCGGATGCCATGAGAGAATAAAGGCCCAGGTCACTACCCAAGGATCTCCGGGATGGTACACAAACAAAATATCGATTTACAAAGGTAGTGTTAGATGCTGAAAACAAAAACGTAAATGTGAGATATGTGATGTAACGAGGAAGTTTAAAACTGTCAAAAATCAGAAGAATGCAATCGACGTATGAAGAATGCTTTGAATGCTGCGACGATAAGTAACTTCTGAGCAGCAAAAGATGCAGCAGATATCCTTGCTATTCTGAACGGTCCCTTAGATGAGATAGCACTCGGTAGTTAATAAGTACAAAAGATCCCACGAACAAGGTGTAGTGAATAGCCCGCATTGGCGGATGCAGATTAACTCTCGTACTGGTGTCGTCAGCTGGTATCAATAATTAACCTTTATCATACTCAAGACTAACTCAAAGTGCAGAATGCATCCGAAACACACTACAAAGCTTTTATCGGCTTGTGCGAAAAATCGTTTGGAAAAAGGACGGCGCAATTGCGCTCACTTCTATTTGTTTAATCGAACAGGGGAAATCGTGGTACTTAAGTACAAGTCCAAGTAGAACTGGAATGACAGGGGAATCCTAGGAATGTTAATAATAATAATTAATAAATAAATAAATAAATCGTCAGTTGTACCCCGTAACGGCGTTTCGCTGCCATGCGACCACCACCAGTCGAGCGTGGGCTGAGTATACGGCGAGGACGACCGCCCCTACGCGGATTCGAACCGGTGACCTTATGGTTGCAAACCAGACGCGCATACCATTCGGCTACCCTAGGAATGTTCCTTCATGAACAGATGGTTGAGACAGAAACCGATAAGTGATCCAGAGGCACAATAAATCTAAAACAAACAATCGAAGCATACTCTGGCCAAGCGACCACTGTTCAAGTATTCTAACCTAGCAGTCCCTAATGTACCGGTTAAGTAAAGTAGGCACGAGAGAAGAAATCGGTCGTAGTAGGAAGATCATTTGAATAAATAACATCAATGTGTAAAGCAAAAATACAAAAAAAACGAAATCTAATTACGAGAATTTGAGTTGGTCAGGAGGAGGGAAAGGTTAGGTATTGCAACCCCCGCAAGAGCATCAAAATAACGATCAAAAGCTCAACCGTAAGTTCCCTGACCAAATTTTATGAAAGTGAGTTCCAGCACTCGTTAACTCGACGCGATAACGGAGTCTCCACCCAAATTCTGTTATAAAACGGCTTGTAAAGCTTCATGGAATGACCGCGGAGACCAAATAATCCGACCGGACTAAATAAACAAGTCCGGCCAAACCTTCCCAGTCAGAATAGAATATGTGAGGATCAGGTCTTCACGAAGCTTTCGGTAGTACATTGAATGTTTCCCCGAAATAGGTAGGTGTGTGTAGTACGTTCGTCGCCCCAACCATTTGAACAACGTGACACCTACTACTAAAACCCACTCTAGTGCCATTTTGTCGAGGATGAGGCAGTGCGGGTGTAGCACGTCAGTGCCTTTGTGGCAAGCCAAGAGGTAAGATGTTGTCGAGTTTAGCTCAGAATGTCATCGTTGTTTCGGCTTCACTTTGCTTTCCCATTTCGTCTTCAGTGTCGTTAGAGCAGTCATCTCGCTTGCGTATTCACGTCATTCATGCAGTCACCTTAGACCTAATCTTTCATCGGCAGCTGTGCTAACGGCATCAAGCTCGCCACGGGGTGTAGGTCAGGCGCACTCTCCAGTCAGCTCCGTCTCTTACTAGGTGGCTATGATGAAACTAGCCAGCCGACAAGGAAACATCTGTTTTGCATTTCAACCCCCTAGGTCTAATACGACTCACACGCCCTAGACGCGGAAGCGCTCGGAACTCTAAACCGGACGCATACTACAGCGGGCAACGCTGGAGGCAACGATCCAGATGAAGACGAAAGAAAGCTGAGAAGAGCATAAGAAAAATATGGGCCATTAGGATTCTTAATGATAGGGACTTGCTACTTGCGGCCTTTTTCAGTTGTCGCTAGAATGTGCAGTCGAAGAGTGGATGATGCCTAGAGAAAACTGAATGGAGACAATGGAAAGTTCAATTCCGCCGAGCACAACATGAGGCAGGACAAGCTGCGGCTTACGAAGGACTGACAATAGTCACAAAAGGTATCAGAACCAGAGATTATTAAAGGCACGCTAGATCGCCTCAGAACCTCCAATAAAATTCACAATGTTCCAGAGCCTCAGGTCATCAGCAAATAATGAAGATGGCATCTCAAGCGCCGCAAGGTAGGTTGATCATACCAAGCCTTGTAAGACAGAATAGTTTGCTTAGATGATAGGCCGCAACCCACGAGTAGACATTGCTCCCGTCTATACAAGAATCCAGAAAGCCAGTAGTGTGCGCCACCGGATATATCGTAAAAGCAAAGCTTCTGATAGCCTCAAATGGGGTATCATGTCGAATGTCGTAGAGAAGTCGACAAAAATATTTCATGAGTAACCAATAGATTCGCCTCACATGAAAATCCCCTCCGGAATCCGTGCACAACGTTGTTCATGTTTAAGTTCAAAGGGGACAGGAACAACAGGAGAAGCTCGCGAATGTTCCATGTTAAATGCGCTGTTGATCCAGGAGATATGTATTAATCGGATTGTCATTTGAGTGTCAAATCAGAACGCGCGCATCCCCCCACGGTCAGCTGAGCAATGCCGGAGTGTACTGCGCTAGTTTTCCCTACTGTCAATTCCGTTAAGTAGAAACAAAACGATCTGGAAGGAGACAAAAGGAAACTGAAAGAAAAATAACAAAAATTTAGGTGTTGAAGATGGAGAGTGATGAAATCGGAAAAGGAAGTTGTAAAAATATGCTAAGATATGAAGAGGAAGGTTTGTAACTGCAAACCAAGCATATCTACTCGGTGTTCAAGCTTTCTTAACGTGGGTTCCAGCATGTCTTCGACAATTTCTCTGCGTGATATCAGGCTGTCGGCTGAAACCCGATCGCATCGAGGCTTGTGCAGCCATATTGGATGACCACAGAGGGTTGGTAATTTCGATGAGTGGAAAAGCTGAGATAAATCCGGGCCAATTTGACCTGTGAATATACGATAGTTGTGGAGCATGTCCCCTCCTATGTCATCGATAGTGAGGTGAAAGTACACCCAATTCAAGCAGTCGCTCGGGATATGATATGCGTCTTAACCCATGCTCCATCTTAGCACCGACCCACAAGATCCGCTCCACTGCCATCTTGTCCCGGACTAAACAAGGAAGACAAGGTTGCACGTAGTATTCCAGTTGAGACCGGATGAAGACTGTATACACTACAACCGTAATGGTTTCGAATGAGTGGTGAATCATCCACAGGATCCTGAATCCCTTGCAAGCGGTTTTTGTCCAGTTGTCACCAGATTTGAAAGTTGGCGATAGTGTGACTTCAAAGACAACCTGCTCAGTCAGCGGCAGCAACACGTTCCGACTAAAAAGGAACCCGTAAATGGACTACCATTCCCAAGGCGTAGAGTAGAACACTTAGAGAAGTTTACTGGCAGTTGCCAAGAAACAGACTAGTCTTAGGACGCCAGGTGCACAGGTTAGATTCTGGGAACCCTCTGCGTAACCGATCCCACCCCAGAATTTAATATGGTCTGTAAACATAAGAGACAATACACCTAGCTTTCTAAGTAGGTCGATTAGATATAAGGTGAACAATAATGGATCCAAGACGACCCATGTGGTACACCGCTGAGGACAGACTGTCAGAAGGATGGATTAGAACCCACTCGAAGACACATACAATCCCCTCTAAGAATGCCATTATCCAACACAGAGCAGACCAGGAGATGTCATATGACTGCAGTTTGGACAAAAGATGGGAGTGTGGGAAGGTGTCGAGTGCTTTTGCAAAGTCAATGAGCAACAGGACAATTGCTTGAACTTAGTGTACCGCTTTGGCCCAGTATTCTCGGGCACACAACAAGTTAGTCCGACAGACGGTCTCTGTGAAAGCCGTATTGAGACGAGCTGAGGAAGCCAAATGTTATCAAGTGGGTTTCAACGGTATATCTTAATAGCTTCACCAATAATCTGAGCAGAATGCTCGTTTAGCTTACTGGTCTATAGACCTGAGGTAGGTGCTCATCGCGCTTCTTGAATACGGGGCAGACAATCGCCTCCTTACAAACAGAAAGTAAGAAACAACTGAGAAGTGAGTTCTCGAGCATTAGCGTAATCGGTTTATACAGCATAACTGGAGTAAAGAATGAGCTCTAGTCACTTTGGCAGGACTTAGCTGCTACAGGAGCCTGGGTACCTGGATCAGTGAAATAAAGATAGCTGTCGGCAGAGAATTTGCTTGAACGTTCATCTCTAAACCAACACGCGGTACCAGAGATTCCCTAACGAATGCTCTCGCATATTTGTCTGCTAGCAGACAAACCTTTGCTTGATCTGTGTGGGCAGCAGTGCCGTAAGAATCAAACAACGCTGGTAAGATTGGGTTCCATTTGATTCGCCCCTTAGCATACGCAAAAATCGCCTTGGGTTGATTGAAGCTGAGTTGACCAATTTCGTCTCGAAATTTAGTCGAACAGAAATTCGGATGTTGCTTGCGGATACTTTGTCAGTCTCGTTAGCGCCGAAAAGTGCTAGATAAGTCGGCTGACACTTGGTCTGTCCACGAATATGTGCGCAAATGAGTCAAAGCACGGTGGCTTCGCATTTGTAAACTTCCCCACAGTGACTGGGATATGAGGGAGGGACAACACAGAAAGGTGAGACTTGAAATATGACCACGTGGTCCGGACATCATCATCCACTAAAATAATACAAGGCGAAGTTACAACCAATAGCTCTGATTGCAGAGATATCTGCTCGCCATATATTCCAACTTATTGGTCTCGAAAGGGAGTACTTTTGAATGACAAAAAATGTGGTCACTAGCCGCCAGTGGTTTGTAAGTAAGAGCTTCATAAAGTCTAACAACTTAGCAATAAAAGAGCTGTCTTTCCATGAATCTAGTGGATAGGTCCACGGACTGGTGTAGGGGTAATTGCAGTATAAGGCAAGAAGGTCAGTGACCAGCCTTCTTGCCGCTGACGAATACGAAAAGATATTGATGAGTAGTAGTGAGGA